GTTTGAAACATTGTTGAAAAAGAAAAGTTCAGATTTAATTGCTGACCAAACTGCCAGGAAAGAATAAGCTGAAAATGTCATCTTGTGCTCAGCGAGGAGCACAGAGCCTTAAAGCTCCTCAGCATCACCTCGATCACAGAAATAGAATAAATTTCTTTAATTTTGTCTCAAAGACTGGGATCCCTGCAGCCAGACTTCAGAGAGTTTGAACCCCTGATGGTTGAAGCCTGAAGAGCAAAGAAACAAGAGCTGCAGAGGAGAAATTTAGACCCAGCATTGCTTATTCACTTTGGAAGTCAGCGTGATGTCATCTGGTTTTTATCCTCAACTCTGCAAACATTCAGCTCCAATCAGGATCTGCTGACATGGGCTTCATAGTTAAAACAGAAAAACAACCTTTGTTCTGTTCAACAGAAATTCAGTGYGAAGTCAAACAGCTCTGAAGACTCCAGGCTGCATCTGCGTAGGAGAAAGGAGGCCCTTACCTGTGCATGGCATGGAGGGTGTGAGGCTCGTAGTGGTACCGTCCCTCGTGGTGGCGAATGTCCAGGGGGATGGGCGTGTGGAAGGCAGGGAGGAAGTGTTGGGGCACTGCAGACACAGAAACCACAGAAGAAGAGTTGGGAACTGAGGGCGAGAAGAGAGTTCTTTTAAAACAAGAAATTTCAAAGGCAAAGGGGGGCTACAATAAAGCAACATGAATTTTAGAGCAGCCTGAGCATTTTGGTGTAAAATATTGGCACTATCACACAAGAGAAGTGGAATAAATAAATAATCAAAGATGGCCTAAGAAATCCTACATCTTGAACATAAAAGATATCCAACCAGGCTTCTGACAAAGACCTGCAGCTACAAGAGCTTTGAACTAGACAGGATGATGGAGCGTCTGAAGCCCCGACTCAAACCAGGACTGACAGCTCGGGGAAAAGCTTTCTTCTGCTTTTCTGTCCAAACAGCTCGAGTTTCCTCAGGAGCTGCAACCAGCTGAACCCCACTCACAACACAGAGGGAGAAACACCAGCCGAAGTCCGAATCCACCCACAGAATCTTATAAACACTAGCCAAAGACTGGCTCTCCCCTCAGAACCTGATAAACACCAGCTGAACCAATAAAGAGGTCGCTGGCTCTTCTCCAYCTTCTTTGGATGAAGAAACTTATCTGTAAGGGAGTCTCATCAGTCTGTATAGGACGCTCATTTTAACTGCTTGATTTCAATATCTGGTTCTTTCAGTCGGTATCCAAACCTCTGGACCAAATGTGAGGGTTAGAACCGGGATGGACCAGGTCAGTCCAAAGCTTTGTTTTTCAGCTTAGCTCCTTCACCATGACAGACTGGAGCAACACTGATATAAGAACCTGAGGTTCTCAAACACTGGCCTATTACTGAATGTGTCACACCATCAGCATCATATTTTCCTATGCATGCCTTCATCTGACCCGGTCTGAGAGGTCGATACTAGACCAGATCCCTGATCATGGTGCAATTGTGGGTTTTACGTGATTTTCATTGAAACATGATGCTGACGTATAGAACCTGGTTTAGATGCAGGAAAACATCTCTAGGTTCTTTCTGAAGACAGCACCGTGAAATAGGCAAACAACCTATTTTGAGTTGACGTTCCCTCTGGCAGTTTGGAAGTCACTGATGGAGACGCTCTCTTACCGTGTTCAAATGCACTTTCAGAGAACATTAATCAGTGCAACATTAAAAGAGGCTTGGAAAAAACTCAGCTACCCTGAAGTTTTGCTGTTACTCAGTCTGCTGATAAGTCACAATATGGCGCTTGYCCCTCATTTTGCAGAGATGAGAATACTTTGGGTATGTTTTTAATCTTATTATGGTTTTATCTGCGCTGCTGCATACTGTTAGCCAGTCTTTGTACCGATAAAAATTGTATCCTATTTGTTTCCTCCTGAAGCAAGGAACTAGTGAGTAAAAAAAAAAACCCACACTGAAAGTTTAAATCTGGTGTATTGAGTTACGAAACATACAGCTGGGTGATCCCTGAAGTTGTCAGTCATCACCACGCTGACCCACATTTTCAGTAGTTGACGAGAAACCTTTGCCACTATCTTGCACGAAGTTTAAGAGGCACGACAGACCTCTGTCCACCCTCTCTGCCTTGTCACATGTCAAGGCGGTCAGAACACACATCAGAAATGTTAGGGGTTTGAGAGACAGAGTCAGGTTCTCTGAATCCACAAAGATCAGGTAAAAGATAAACAAGATAAAATCAATGTCTTGTTTCTGTGATTAAAGGAGTGTTTTCTGCTTCTAACAGAACCATTTTTATAAGGGTTCTTTTCATCATCGTACGTACATTCATTCACACTTTTTGTTTTCTATTATAGACCTTTTTTTCCCCACCTCAGATCTGGGAAGTTGAGTCAGCACATCAGAACTAATTGGGTCTAGCTGTGACACGAAAACCCAGAAGACGAGCCTTCGTTGTTTTACTGTCCTTTGCGGAGGCTTTTAATGGAGTTTTATGGAGTTTACTTTCTTGTTAATGTTTTCCATGTGGCGAGGTTCCATGAGGGCACAGTCTAACCTGGCTCCATGAGGGCGTGGTCCAGCCTGGTAAGACCCGGATCCTTGCTTTCGGGACAGTTTTATTTATAACCTGCTTCTCATCTGTGAGCTGCCAGATTGTTGGAGACAAAGAGGAAGAACCTGGTGAAGCTGATCTCTGGACTGAATTAAAATTCCTCTGGTGTCGCTCAAACACACACACACACACACACACACACACACACACACACACACACACAC